CTTTTTCAAAAGAAGCAGTTCTGCTTTTTTTCTTATTTGCATTAAACTCTTTATATTGTAGCCTGAGTTTTACTGCTTGCAAATATTAAGGACATTCCTTTTTAATATAATTTTTTTATCACAGAAGAAGCAGAGTTTTGGAGCTGAGTGCCATTCTGTAGTGATTATGTTATTTATAAGAATATAGAATTATGAAATTCTTTCTTCTAGTCTTGGATCATCAGTAGTTTCAAATATAATAATCTATTGATCTATTAAATATGATGTATTCTTGATTAAAAGTGATTTAATTGAAGCAATTTTGCCTATATTATTGAAGGTTTCTCTGATTTCTTTTGAAATAAAATCTTTGTCATCCAATAGAACATTTCTGATTTTGATTAAAAGAAAAAATTTTTTTGCATTAGAAGAAATGTAACTATAGTATATTCTGTCAAAGATTTGTATTTCTTTAGAAGCATAAAGCTTCAGTTTTTTCTTGTTTGAAAATACTAGTTCTAAATGAGTATGTGCATCCTTATTAATATGTGGCTTAGCTGCTATTATGTCACATCTTACAGTTTCATGAAATGAAACCATAATTTCATTTAGTAAACTTATCAGATATTAGATGTCTATGATAAGATTATTATCATTTCTTAATTTTATATTATTTCTTGGCAAGAAAAAAAAAAAGATTGACTGTTCTTTTTTAACTTTAGCAAAAAGGCTTGTTCAAGATTTGTTTACTGTTTTTTTGCTTTTGTTTACTTTAGTTAAGCTTGGTTCAGTTAGTGGTTTCTCATATGGGTTTATATGTGTTGTTGTTATTGATACTGAGTTTTCATTATTATTAGGTTTTTTATTACATGTTTTAAAAATAAACATGTCCAGTTCATTGTTTTGGTCTTTTCTTTTTTCAGAGAGACCTTCTATATTTTCTAAAAAGACTTGTTCATCTCAACTAAATGTGTTGTTATCATTGGTGTTTTGTTGTGCAGAAACTGCTAAGGCTGTTGGATAACTGTTTGCTGTTGTAATTTTCTCTTTAGAGTAAGAGCTTTTTTTGTTGTATGCAATAAGTTGTTCCATATTAGAGTAGTTAGTAAACTTAATTTTCTTGTGTTTGTGGACTTCAAAGGTAGGAGTACTATGTTTCTTAGAAACAAAGAGAGATATCTCTGTTCTGATACTGTTTTTGAAAATGAAAGAACTCTTAAATAGATTAATTTTGTCTCTTCTAAATTACTCTTAATTCTAAATGCAAGTGATCAGAAAAGAGAAATTATCAATTTTTTTTAATAAATTTTTTTTATTTTAATTCTATATAATTTCAAGATTAAAATAAAAAATTCAGATTTGATTAAATAGTTGTTAAGTTATTTAAATTTAAAAATTAAAAAAATTTTACTAAAAATGATTTGTCTCTTTTCTATTGACTTATTTTATATATAAAAAAATACTAATAACTAATATTATATAATACTTTAGTACAAATCTATAATAAGATCACTAAGTATAAAAGACTAAAAAACTAAGAAGCTAAAAACTCACTTAAAAATTTCTAAGTAAAGAGATAGTATAAATTTTTAATAATACTATTAGACTAATAGAAGCTTATAAACACTCTTTAAGAATATTAGTAAGACAAACAGAATAACAAATATGTATAAAGAAGCATATAACTAACTAGGCTATCAGATTTGTTAAAGAAAAAAAAAATACTATACTAGGTTATTTAAATTGGTAGTTTGGAAAGTTAAGAATAATTTAAAAGAAAACTAATAGAAGAAGATAAAAAAGATATCAAAAAGATAAATATTAAGGTCTTAGTAAGATAGAAATAATGTAATATAGTAATTAAACAGATAACTTCTGTAATTGCAAATGTTAGATAACTATAATATGTTATATAAAACTAGATTAGTTATATATAAGACATGACAGGCTTTAGTAAATTTTTTGTCAAGAATTAAGTAGTTTTAAAGATACTAATAAGTATTGAAAACTTAGATAAACTATGCTCTAAAGATGCTTTTATAATATAAGAGAATTGCATATGCAAAAAGTTTAAATAAACAGAACCTGTAGTTGACTTGCAAATATTGTATTTAATATAGAATCTATATAGTAATATATAGATAGACTACTTAAATTAGGCACTAAAAGTATGTATATAACTAGTTGTAATTTTTAATATAAGGAAGTTTTTGAAGACATCTATGTTTAACAAAAACTTAAATAAAAATGTTATTTTCCAAAGATAGAAACTTTAACTAAAAAAAATAAAAAAATATAAAAAATATAAACAAAAAAATAGTAATTTTAGTATATAATTAGATTGTTATATATTCTTTAAGTAATAGATCTAAAGTTCAAATTTTATTAGTAACAGAATTTAAAAAAATTAGATTTAATCTAATAATTTATTTATAATTTTATAATTTTGATTGTATCAAGACTAATTTTAAAAGTATATAATATTATATAAATAAATTTAAAAAGTATATACTTAGATAAGAAGTTTGCTTAGAAATCTTAAACAAAAAAGTAATATAATCTTTAATAGTATTATTTATAAAAATCTTGATCCAAAAAAAGAAAATTTAAAACAAATAATTTGGATAAACAAAAATCTCTAAATAGAAAATATTACCAATCTGGTTACTAATTAATCTAAATATAAAGTTGTATTATATAAAACTAACTAGATTAGTAGTATAAAAAAACTTGTAAAGACAAATAATATAGTAATAAGATTATAAAAAAAATACTAAAGTTATATGAAGTTTATAAAAATTAAAAACTTAATTAGTTATAAAATAAGTTACAAAAAACTCTAATAATTTTTTTTTAAAAATAAATTAATTTTAAGATTAAGACAAAAATTTGAACTTAGAAGAATAAATATATTTGTAACTTAATAAAGTTAATAGATAATTTAAAATAAATATTTAAATAGAAGTGTTAGGTACAACAATTGGTAAGAAACTTTTAAGCAAACTTCTTAAATAGATAATATAAAAAAATTACATATATAATTAGTTGTACTTTTATTTTGTAATAGTTTTATATAAATACTGTTATTCAAAAATATTAATAAAATTAAGAGAGTTGCTATTTTTACCTATTTTTGCTAATGCCACCCTTCTAAATACAAAAAAATGCTTCAGAAGAAATATTATCATTAAGTAAACCTCTTTTTAAATATTAAGTAAACTTGTTTATTAAATCTTTTCAGTTCTAATAATGATAAAATTATTAAAATCAGACTGATAATTCTTTTTTAAAAGTAGATTAAAGATTATAAAATTTAGGTATAAATATTTTAAGAACCACTAGTCTGATCTTAATGATTTTACTATTATTAGAACTGGAAAGATCTATTAAACCACTTTAATTAATATCAAAAAAAAGGTTTACTTAATAATTATATCTCTTTCAGAGCACTTTTTTGTATTTAGAAAGGTGGCATTAGCAAAAATAGAAGGTGGAAATAGCAATTCTTTAAAATTAAATACCAAAAAGATTATCTTTATATCAAAAAAAGTAAACATTTTACAAATAAAAATTTTAATAATTTTTCATTATACTTTTTAATGTTAGATTCAACTTTTTATATATTTTTTTCTTATTTGTTTATATTTTTTACATATTTTATTTATCAAATTTTAATGTTTAATTGTACTTAAATATATATAATTATTTGATAAATAACTTAAAATTGTTTAAAATAAAAACATAATTATATTTATAACATAAATTTCTTTACTTTGCATATTACAAAATACATTTGTTTTGAAAATCAAATTATTCTACACATCATCTTTAAATATATAAACACAAATTAAGTTAGTTTAAATATATATATATAATAACTAAGTATTTACAGTATACTAAGAATTTGTTTAACTATTTTTTCTAAATCAGATTCCTTCTTCTATCTAAGATTATCTGAGTTGTTCTTCATTTTTGAAATTATTTCTAAACTCATTGTGTTTAAAAGTAACTAAAATCTGAAAGTTTGCATTTCATTTACTTACAAGATTTCTAAATAATATTAGTTGTTACATACTAGATCACTACTGGTTATATATTAGGTTACTACCGTTATATGTTAAATCACTACTGGTAATGTTCAATTATCCACCCATATTTAATACTTGAACCGAGTAAGAAGAAGTTGCTTTATTAACTAGACAAATGCTATATTTATACTTTTTGATATGTAAGAGTTTCAACCCTGAATCCTGGGTTTCAAACCCGTGCACGTGCTACTGTTATCGAAATTGACACGTCTAAGACTTTACAAATAGCAAAATATAACTAAAAATGCGTATAAGCGGAAAATTTTACAACAATTTCATAACATACATATGCGCATTAATAGACTCCTAATGTTAGTGATTATTTTAGCAAATGATAAGGGGGTTTTTTTTAATATATAGTCAACATCTGTTCGAGAAGCGAAAAAATTTCGAGCGCATAGATGAGCATCTTAGTTCAGTGTGCATAGTCTAAGCATCACAACTCAGAGTATGTGCTGAATAATAGATTGAGAGATAAAAGAAGCTTATACCATCAGTTTAATTTTGTGGAACCACCTATTTCCCATAAAGGCAGTACAAGTATAAACGATTATTTCATACGTAGTCTAAAACTAACCAACTAAATAACTACCTAATAACTAACTAAATAAAAAATTTCCATGCAAACCGATGTAGTGCTAACTAATAACTAAATTAGTGCTAATGATTAATAACCATGCCACCTATACTAAAAGTTCATAAAGTCACAAATATGATTCAACGATTACTTCATATCCCCACAAAAACACCGGAGACGGTATTAGCCGTTGTAAATATTCAGATCCAAATTTTATTTATAATACGTATACTTAAATACATGACGATAATACATTTTTTAAATTTTACATGTATCAAAATGTAATAATAAATCAATTTTATCGGTCATACTTTATGGAGATCCTAAGTAATACCAGTTGATGTCATTTTTTTCGATTAGATTTGGTTCCCCTTTGCCCATAAATAAAAAAATAATATCACGAATGATATCGCCATTACTATCACTTGTAATAATCTTAATCCACCTACATCTTTAGTAGTAATAGACTGGCATTTGGCTATCAAACTATTTTTACTGATTCCAGAGATGCTAAATCCTAAAAGTCTGAGAAATCCAATAAAGAGCTGAGGGATAAAAGATATGACAATTATTAATAATCCAATAATAAAAATGATATAATATTCTGCTATAAATTTAAAGATTGGTTCAAGGGAAGGAAATTGGATTTCAGGAAATTTAGCTTCAGGAAGCTGGATTTCAGAAAATTTAACTTCAGGAAGCTGGATTTCAGAAAATTTAACTTCAGGAGATTGGTTTTCGAAAATTTCGACGTTTGAAAGCTCTACTGTAGTCATATAAACGTCTGAAGGTTCATCATTAACCGCATTGTGACCGGTAAGTATAACAGTAACATCTTCAGTGAGTTGTAGGGTTAATGCTTTAGAAGGGTTTTGAGGGATAGGAAGGCTAATAACAAATTGGCATAAAACAAAGATTAAAATCGTACTTGTGACCTTAGAAAATGATTTCAGTTTTTTTTTCATCATAAAAACAATTATTATACTTTGGATTAATATATTTAAAAAAATGCTTGTCATTGTTGCCGAAGTTGTTATAAAGTTACATAGTATTGCCGAATTCCGGTGGAAGAATTCCGTAATTACGCCTGAAGCACATACTTCATATGATACGATCGTTATCTTAGCTTAAAATAGCAAATGTCCATTGACTAGATAGACACAATTGACTTTTATTTCTTATTGTCGACACTATTACAACTGGTGTTTACTCGACTAAATACGGTCTTTCTCTTTTTACAATTACATAGATAAAGAATTTCTATATAACCATATTAACCCTTTTTATATTCAAAACATCTTAATCATTTTTTTAGCGTTAAAGTTTGTAAAAATAACGTACGTACGCGCGCATATAGGTAGGTATATAGTTGTATTCGACTTTTTGAGCAGATACTCGACTGAATTTTTAATTCGAGTTAATAAATTTATAAAGTAACATTGTGAAATTGTGTTAACGAAAGTCAAAAATTATGTTCAAAAATTGAACTCATAATTTAATATTTTATTGAATTTGCTTTAGGGTTATGGCGACTTATGTTAGCGTCAGGCTAAGATTAGGTACATTTATATACGTAGATAAAATTCTTTCATGAGATTTACAATGCATTTTTTTGAAATTCTGATATTCGTTGTTGATGATATAAAAGCTTAGCATTAAAATTAGTGAAACATCTTCCAAGAAATTAAACACTTCTATTATATAGGGATAGCTAATAATGGATAAATTAAGAATAATCTTGATTAGTAAACGCAACTCTTCGAAATATCAAGTTTTATAAGGCCATTACCAAGCTAAAGTTAATACAATTCGTTTGATATTATTAAGATGTGATACGTGTACATAGTCAACTTAGCAATACGGCATCACTGGCATTATGTACGGCAATGCGGTATCGCTGATGCATTATGTACGGCAATGCGGCATTACAGCTGTATTAAGATGCTATAAATTTTCTTTTTCGGGACAACTAAAGAATTCCTGATGACCGAATCGATAATCAGGAGTTGGAAATTAGAAGTATTCGATATCGGTCGACATCAGAAACTTATCGATGTGGTCTTATTCTACATGAGCCGCAATGTCGCAATTCAGTAATTTTGCCGTCAATATACATACATACGTACGTACCTGCGACTAATTAATAAATCGTCCTTTTTAAAATGTTCATTTATCATAATGCTTGAATGCTAAAGGTATCTTGGGTTTCATTCCGATTTTAAGTACTTCCCATAAGATGTACCTCATTCCCTAGTGACATCTTTCTCCCAAAACTGTGACTACCACAAATTAGAGTGTCCAGGATTATGATTCGACATAATATTCGCATAATTTACCTTACGGCACATAAGATATGCGATTTTGCATAATTTAAATAAATTCGCATTTTCACAATTGCGTTACACGGACTAAGTTACACGGAATCTTGTCATCAAGTCGGCCTACATTATACTCTAACTCTGGTAGGATCATATTAATAACGTGACCAAACTAGTTGCACTTTTCAAATATCAACGAATTTGCAAAGTTATTGACTATACCGTTCTAACTTTTTATAGCATTGATAACGATTATATGCCAACTACATTCGTGCTTGTA